TCGTTCTAACGTGTCTATAATCGAGAATAGCACCGGCCAATTGATCTTCGTCATTGAGGATGACACAAAGTTTGTAAGTTTGCTAACTTATCAGCAAACGTTTTCGTTTGCGAAATTGAACGTTCCATTGACCATATAATTCAATTGGTAATAGGCCAATAATACTGTAATAATCCTCTAATTACCAGATCTCTCACAGAGAGAACTACGATGAAAATATTAATAGAATATTGTAATGCAATTGATCATTTTTCCAATAACTCCCTGTCTTGTTTACAGCTTAGAGTCCCTCTGTGCGCTAATATAGATTCATGATTTCCCGACGCGTAATTCCAATGGATTTGCAAATGTCAGGTCACAAAATCAACAAGACATCTGCCGAGAAACCTTTAAATTTAGATGGCGGCAGTTTTTAATATTGTGTATACAGATTCTCAACAAAAACTGGTATTGATATTCAAATTCAATGGCTTACGTCTTGGTGAAGTATCCAATAGATATTGTGATGATCATTACATCAGAATAGTATACATGCTGCGTGCTAATACGAAAGCCAAAGTCCTTCATGTTCAGATTACTTTAAGAAACAGAATGTCGACTAGATGCAATGCGCCTCAAGGGAGTCGTGAGTAAATATCAATTATATATAATGGACAATCGCAAGACAATAGACTCGATAGACTCGATTGACGACAATATGTCAACAATAGTTCTATAGTTTTGCGTTTCGTCTGAAACATCTAGAAGCCTACTCCATCAAGAATTGCTCCAAGCAAAGTTGTTTATTGTCGTAGCCACTCCATGAATGAATTAATATCTGCTCCTCTCTATTCCAATTGAGGCCGAGAAACAACTTGACAATAAATAGACGCAGTGCAAACATTAACAGAAATGAATATGCGCCTCATTGAAAGCATACAGGAGTCTGCGTGAAATTATTTGCGTTGAGAAAATATTGAGTATTTACATTGTTCGACATAATCGACGTCTGAATTTCTCCACTTACTTTAAAAAGTCGTCAATGTCTAATTTAGCAGCTCTTGCTTCAGCTAGGTTTAGTGATTCGAGTACTTGCTGTACTTTTTGCTTTATATCTATTGAATCTTCAATCATCTGAAAGAGTTGGAACACGTGAACAAAGTATCATTAACATGTTTGTCAATCAATTTGTCTCCTTACCATATCATTTGCTGCACAGAATGTTTTATAATTATTCTCAATCATCTGCAACACTGGAGTACTCTTGAAATTGGCCGATAACGTCTAATCATAAAAACCAATTATATTAATATTGTACTTTAATAATCACAACTATAGCCACAAGTCCACGTGCACTTTCAAACCCTACTCACTTTGTTTTTTCTTACGAACACAATTCGAACTAATCCATCAAATTCCTTAAAGTTCACCGGTGGAGGTGGGTTTATCGGCTCTAGTTTTATAACAGATGACTCGACTTGCGGCGGAGGTTTGAAGTTGTTTTTGGACACCTGTAATTTGTAATTTCTTTAATAAATTGCAGGTCACGCAGTTATCAAAAGTTTATAGCTTTCTAATTACCTTCATGACATGCTGCACTTTGGCATATAATTGCACATTTACACTCAATCTGCAGTACAAGTTGTCGCCGGGTCTTGCTATTAACCGCATTGCAAATTCACGTTGAAATGTTAGAACAGCACAGCGGAAGAGAGGTCGATGCTCGAGAAGTTTAAATATCAATGGTGAAGAAATCTAATAACATTATACGAAAATAGATTTAGTTTAACATCTGGTTAAAATAGTGTGCTTGAGAAGATAGCCTCGAATGAGCAAGATGACGAATAGGACAGAAACTTGACCTATAAACAAAAAATTTGCAAATTAACTTGCGATGAAGAGAAGAACAACGCAATATTAATCATTATTGACAGGTAATTATATAACAAAATCTATTTCTTTTTAGCTTACCTGATATGGTGTGTTACTTATGCATACGTCAAAGTAGGGTAAATCTGCTTTTATTACATCTCCTATCATTATCTCTAGACG